CTAGAATGTGTATGTTGTTTATTTCACACCATTTTCTGCGCTTTTGTTTTCTTCTGCAGACCTTCTGTGGATGAAACTGCAATTATCAGAAGTGTCAAGTTAGTTGCTGAAAGTCTTGCGGTAAGGTTACACTACCTGCAAATGTAACTTTCCTTCACACTTCTCAATGCCCACAATAATCAGTATGGAAAAAATAGACATACGTGCTAGGCTAAACACTGCTAATTAGGGGCCTACAGGTTGTTATGTGTTAGTATTACAGAAAGGGAATGTCATTGAACATAAAATTGGACCAAAAGTGTTTCAAGTAATCAGATCCATCTCTGGTAGATTGTGATATGAAGAAAGCTAGTATGAAATAAGTCTAGAGAAATTCCGGTTGTGAGACTCTTAATGGAATCTCTATGAACATGTGGTGCTGCTAAGATACGAAAGTTACATTTTTTATCTGTTAGTGCCTGCATATTATTAATTCCAGCTGTTTCTTTGTGCAGAGACATATCTATGATTACCAGGGAGAAAATATTCAAATCTTTGCAGATAATACTAGTTTGTCTGTGAATCCCTCTTACATAAGATCCTGGTTGGATCTTATATCACAAACACCTCGCGTTGCACCATTTCTCTCAAAGAATGACCCTTTTGTCATGGCATTGAAAAAGGTATTTATGTTATTTTTTGGATCACCTTTATGGCGTTTAGGTTTTTTTTATATGGTAAAAGTAGTAGATTTTTGCTTACTTTCCTAAGTAGATCTCTGGATGAGGAATTTGAAATCTACCAATAAATTCTAAATAAGGAAAGTTCAAAACCTTAACTTTTGGATGCTTGGGTAGTCAAATATCTTATCCCAGTAACTATTTTGGAAACTTTATTCTTTTCTTTTAGGAAATTGCAAATTTTTCCCCTATGGGATGTCTGAATGGTTAAAAGAGTTTTGAGCCTCCATGTTGGAGGATTGGGACAGGTGCAAGGGGTGGGTCATCCTCGTTTTATAGTACATCATCAGATGACCCTCCAATAAAAAATAAAAAATAAAATCAAAGAAATTGCAAATTTTATTTTAGTTGTGTGATTTGGTTTCAAAAACTTCCTGAATGGGCACAATTGATAAATTTTATCTCCATTGTTGGGAAAATATTATCAGATAAACGTTATTAGCCAATTTCAAGAAAAAGGAAACAAAAGGAAACTGAAATTAGATCATCCTGTCTGGTTTGGGACTTTGACTCTCTGAGAAATACAAACTGTTAAAAGTCAAAAGCTCTCTTCAATTCTGACCATCCTTTTCATTTTTACTGACAGGAATTAGCAGATCATACTGATGAAGTCAATTTGCAACATGAGGTGCTTGAAGGGATATTCACTTTCTATGATTCAATCAGAGCAAAGCTTAACATATACCAGGTACTCTACTTCTCCCTTTTTTTTTCTTTTTTTCTTCCTCTATTGATGACTATATACCAGACACGTAGACACAGTTCTATTGCTTAAACTACATTTTTAACTCATGCCATGTTAGTTATCTTTGTTGCATTCTTTTGGTCAATGTTTTCAGTAGAATGATCAACAGAATTTCTTCCACTTAAATTGATTTGCATAGCTTCTGAGCAACCATAAGCTTCCCATTTTATCATGATCAACCCCAAATATAGTTTTCATCATAGATAGAAGAAGAAACTGTTTTCCTATTCTTATAGTCAAACACTGTTCTTGAAAATGTGTTGACACTCACCCATGAGAGTGATATTTCATATAGCTAGTCTGCAATTCTCTATTGACATGGATAATAAAACCATTCTGAATGGTGACAGGTTGCTAGTGTGACATTTGACTTGCTGCTGCTACTTGTGTTGGGATCATACTTGATACTGCTCTTCAGTTTTCTGGTCATCACAACAAGGGTATACACACTCCTCTTTGTTTGAGCAAGAAATCCTACCCTCAGATTTTAAGATTCATATTTTTCCTAATTAATTCATGGATGATGCTACCTGCAGGGCCTTGATGATCTGATCAGTTTATTTAGAAGGCCTTCTTCTCGAAAGGTGAAGACAGCTTGATTGAACTATATATCATGGTTTTGATGTTTTTCCAATGTATCCTACACTAAGATCTCCATGGGAGAGTTAACTAGGCATTCACCATTTTTTGTTTTATTTTACTGTAGTTTAGTTTCACGAGGGATCAGTTTCTTTTTTAGTCCCAAAAAACCCAATTTTAATTTTACTGTGCCAAAATGAGACCAATTACTACAATGCAAGAAAAATTTTGTCAAGATCTATATTTTCTTGTCTCGTTGCCATCTTTTTAGGGTAGTCCATGGTAATTGAGGTGGACATGTTGCTTCTGAATTAAAACATAATTTTATATGAAATCTTTGTTTTATAATTTATTATAAAACGAAAACTATTAGATATGAGAAGAGTCTTAATATAGAAGAACTTAACTCCCATTAAATGATTAATATAGTATAATTTAATGTAATTTGAATTATATTATACTTTTTCGATTTCACATTTCAACTTTTTTTTCTATATTTTTTTGAAATAGTAGCTTAATTTTACTGATTTATACAAGTGCTTAGAAATGGACTTATTACATAAAACAATGTTAAGTCAATTACAGATTTATCTCTTCACCCTAAAAATAAAAAAGGAAAAACCATAGCAACTGTATTTATATAACACCCCACCAAAGCCACCAACAAAGTTCAAATTCTATACAAGAAGGGTCTTCAACAAAAACAAAATACTTCTAGAAAGGTGATGCGTAAACAGAAGCGAATCACAGGAAAACAGAACCTACACAATAAACAAAAACTCGAAGTATGTTGGTGCCTCCTCCAATTGAACCTTGACCCACGATTCATGAATGGTGAGCATTCAGCACCGCCCGGTACACCATGTCAATGAATTGATTGTCCTACCATATACATGTGAAGTTAAGTCAGCAGCATCAGAAACAAATGGTGAAGTGAATACCAAAGTTGGCTTTAGAGTGTGTAAAGTCAACTTACAAAGCAGACTTAAGAAATGCAGTTCTGAAGCACATTAAAAACTTCAGAAATATGAAACCAAACTCAAGAGAAAAGAACTGTGGTTTCTTAAACTATATATGCATTTCCCTATTCTCTCCACCCGACAACAAAAGTAGGATCAGATGTTAGAAACTAGAAAGTGAACTTCCCTTTGAAATAGAGATGTCAATCATTCATTTCTAACACAATTGTTGCAGCAGCACTGCTTGCATGGGTCATATACCTATTTAGCAATACAATTAAAATATGTATACCCTTCCTGAATATCAGCTAGCCACAATATGTTCAAGTGATCTCATGCCAAAATGCAGTCAAAACATCAATCACGAGATAGTAGTTGTCAACAATCCAAACAGCTCCCAAAAGACAAAGATCTCATTCCTATATCAAGTGGCCAGAAATCTAACCTGCACAAGTGCCAAAAGTGCTTCCTTGATCTTTTCTCTGCTAATAGCCGGACCATAATTTGGAGCAGGAACAGAAGCAGGAGTAAGAGATGGTGGAGGAGCTGGTGGTGGAAAAGGTTGAAGCAATGGAGCACCATATGGGTGTTGCAGACTCGCAGAAGGGTTCAGTGGAGGTGCAGTAGGCAAAGATGTAGAGATAGGTAGCATTATCTTTGCAGAAGAAGGAGGTATGAAGAATGAGGAAGGCTTTACAAGATTAGTGGTATTATTGCTGTTGCTGCTAGATTCAGAGGAATCGAGTAGTGTCATTAAAGGGGTTGATGAAGCCTGAGGAGGAGAATGTACTTGCAAGGTTGGAACAGTGGAGGATGGAATAGTGGCTGGGTGAGAAGGAGCCGCCATTGATGGAGGTGACTGGAATTGTTGCCCAGGAACTGCTGCACTTGAAGCAGTTCCAACAGTCACAGCAGCCTGCAGTTGTTATTTTACATAAGCTTTAACACAACAGAGGATAATGGCAGGCAGTTCTAAGTAGATAATGCAGTTAATCAATGAATATTAATATGCTCAGCTACACAATCAGATTTAGCAAGCTTAATTCATGACAACAGCTCTTTAATGTGAAAGGCCAAATGTAGCTTTGTTCAGTCAGTCTTGGCACTGCACAAATTATGTTGAAGCAACAAGACAATGAGACAAGTAAAAATCAGTAGGATTAGTTTCTTTTCAGGATTGGGGACTATGCTGCCTCTTACTTATGCATGCATAATTTCAAGAACTAAAAGAGAATGACTTAAAAATTTACTTGATCAAGTTAACATATTCTAGAGGAGTGCATACACTGAAGAAGTTAGCCAGGGCAGCATCATCAGCAGCATCATTGATGTTAGTACCAGTTGATGATGATGGCTCCAGAGGACCATCCATAACAGCCATAGTTGGGACAGCTTCCAGTTCCTCAAACTCGCTGCATTTAAACATAATGCTATTACTCTTTAAGTTTTAGAAAAGTTGGTTGTCAAAGCACATGCAGGCACAAAAACAACCATGGTGATACCAATTTTCTAGATAAAAAGAACAAAATATAAATTAAAACAAGACCATTGTTGTAAGACCTGGAAACCCAAATTTTTTTGAGGCTTTTAAAGAAGAACTGATGAGAAGATAGTTGAATACTAATGTCTGTTCAAGTACCTTCCAGTGTCTGATACTGAATCAAGAACCTCAAAGATCAGTAATTAGGCCATAATAGAGAGAAAGAGGATCAGGGATTCACAACTATAAAGTACTGGTCAAGAGGAAATTTGACTAGAGACTTTGTATTCTTTACAAGTTTGATGAATTTTTTAAATGAAAGAATTGGATGCACAAAGCACATCTACTTTAAGAGAGACATTAGCATGTTGCTCATCAGAATTTTGGCTGTTCCTTAAGATTAGGGTAATCCTTAACAATCATCACAAGACATATCAAAACATGCAATATAATAAGTTGCAGAGAATTGGGAAGAGTTTTTAGTGCAGCACAACCCTTTAAAATAAATAAATGCACTGCAAGTATTGAGATTTACCTTTTTGCTGATGCTACCTTTGATTTCTGAGGCACCTTGGAGTAAGCATTGAGTATCCTATAGATGATAAATGCAAATATGTTACAAAGGCCGAGTGGACAAGCAAATTAGTTAATTACCACAGTATTACCAATGTTTACGTATATATTTAGGACATGCCCCCTCCCATGGATCCCATCTTTCAAAAAGGCCAACGAAATTTGTAATCCACACTTAATGGATACAAGCAGGGTCTAAATTTCAGCTCAAACTTTTTCCCTTTTAAATAAATGAGCTGAGACTGAATTCCTCATGCAGCTCATGTTATTTTATATTTGATATTTGATTACTAGGCTGTTGTATCTTAACGTCATAAACAAACTTCTCATTTCAAGACAATGGGTCCCAATAATCATTTATAAATCGAATAAAAGATTTACAAATCATTAACACATTCTCCATATCAGAGACAGACAACCCAGAAATAAACTCGTCTACTTTGAATCTATTGCAAAATATGACTTGCAAGTGCTTCCAAGGCAAACAGAAAATCATGCTACAGAGGAAGATGTAAAGTGTAAACTGGTTCATTTTGCTACAAGGATCAAAAAACTCATAAATAGAATCTCTCAAACTTTGCAGAGACAGGAATCACGCATAAAATTTTTCCAGTTCCTTTTTTCCCCTTTTCCGCAATTAAAAATAATATCACCCATACCTGCCAAAAAGATTTGCAACCTCGTCACACTCTCGTTTATTGTAGAACCAAATACCATTTACTTCTTGGGCTGCATTACGGTACAGCAAATATGGACCTTGGACTTCATACTCAAAATCTTCCAAGAGATTCTCCACCAAATTATCTGCTTATAAAACACGTTGAAGCTTTTAGTACTACTAAAAGCTTCACAAAAAGCGTCACAAAGACGCTACAAGCTTTGAAGAAAATATCATTTTGTAGAGACCCCATATGTTATAACTTATAAATTTCAAAACATGAAATTTCTCTTTTTCTATTTCAATACGAGAGTTAACCATCAATTTAATTTCTGCCATTACTGTCATGCAGATAAAC